TATGCCAGAGTAATACTAATTAGAATTTTTTGTGTGGAAGAATTTTTGTGTGGACAAAAGATTAAAATATCTGAGAAAAATATACAAATAAAATATAAACTACATAAAATTTATGTAGTTTATATTTTTAAAACTACTTTGAATTTGGGTCGGCTTTGCTGAATGCCGACTCAAATTTTAAGGGTTGTGTCTATGTTTAACTTATATTTTTGTTTCTAATTTAAAAAGTTGAAACCCTCTTGTGTTGATGGTTCCATACTTTCCATATTTTATATTACGCTATTTTTGGATTTAAATGAAATGAAAGACTAAAAAAAATGTTTTAGACTTTTTCTAGTACTGGTTTGTTTTCTAGTACTGGTTTGTTAATTATAATAATAGAAGTTTGGCCACTTCTATTATTATAACTAAACTAGTTTTTTTTTAATCAGATTTTCTCTTAGGCAAGTTGCATTCACCATAACTAAAAGGCTTCACCTGCCCCAATGTAATTTTAGTTTCAAAAATTTCAATAAATAAAAATTTGATTTAAAAAAAAATGTTTTTAATAAAAATGTGTAGAAATTTAAAAACATCATAGAATACACAGTAATCAAAATAAAAAAAATTGGGGGTTATTTAATTAGAAAAAATTTCATCAAATAATAACTTTTTATAAAAATTTACCACCTGTAATGAGGAGGAGGCAGTCTTTGGATGACATGATGAAAAGCAACTGTTTTTTCAGTATCACCCTCTTTATTGATAGCAGCCTACCAAATATCCAAAAATTAGAACAAATATACAATAAATTTTTTTTAAACATAACAAAAAGGAAAAAAAAAAACCTTTTTTAAAATAACCGCTAAAGACATGAAACTAAAGAAAATATTTATTCAAATAAATAAATTATATATATACAATAGAGTTCAAAAGTTTAGCACACAGCAGGATAAATATAATTTTTTTTCTTTAGTACTTAAAAAATAGTAAAAAAGATTAAAAAAATTTAGTTATTTCAAACGCAAAATTTAGTATATAAAATAAAAAGCTACTCATAAGTTCAGCACGGTTTTTAGGCCAAAACTTAATAAGGAATGTGACCATCTCTATATTTTATGCTTAGTGAAAATCTTCTTCTTATAAAATCAAAAAGTTTACAACAATAATCAATTGTCAAACCTTTAAACTACTTGAATTTTTTCTGAGATTTTCAGCTGAAGTTACTTGTTCTTCTGTAAATTCTCAGCCCATTACAGTCCAAACATTTTCAATAGAATTCAGATCAGGTGATCTAGCTGGCCTAACTGACCTAACTGAATTATCTTGATATAGTTTTGCTCAAACCATTCTGTTACAGATTTTTCTACCTTCTATTAGTCTTCTATTAACTATTTGATTGATATTTGATTTTTAAGTGTTAGGTTTACTTCTTGTGCAATATCTTTTGCTGAGTATTTAGGATTTCTTCTGGCTTGAGTAGAATTATCATCAGTGATATTTGTCTTTTTGGTCTTCCAGAAGGCTTTTTTGTCAGCAATATTAACAGTTTCATTAAACTTATTGTACCTTTATGCTAAGTAGAACTTAGCAATAGTTCTACTTACACATAAAGGTGGAACACACTTTAAAATAAAATTTTAAAATTCAAGATATTTAAATGTTAGAGTGACCTCCCATATTAAAACCAATAACATACTGTTAGATTTTTTTTGACTTATTATTTTTTTCCCATGCAAAATTTCTAGACTTTGATTATTATTATAATCTAAAGTTAAGTCAAAATGACGATTTAATAAAATGAACTTTTAAAATACTACATACTACTTTAAACTTATTTCATAAAAAATCACAACGATGATGCAACTTTTTCTGCGATAAATTTATAAAAGTTCTTCTTAAAAGCTTCAATGAGAGATAGTGTGCTAAACCTATGAGCAACTTTTTTTAAAGCTTAAAATACTGGTTAGTGTATGTATTTAGAAAAAAAAATTATTTTAACTGGGTATGTCTAGTTAATCGATAAATAGAAAAAAAAATTTTTTAAAGCTTTACTAACTGAAAAAACAATATATATGGAAAAAGTAAATTTAATTCTGCTGTGTGCTAAACTTTTAAGTACTATGATATATATATATATATATATATATATATATATATATATATATATATATATATATATATATATATATATATATATATATATATGTATATATATATATATATATATATATATATATATATATATATATATATATATATATATATATATATATATATATATATATATATATATATATATATATATATATATATATATGCCCCATACTTTCAAAAACTGATCTTTCACTCTTTTTTCAAAATTGAATGAGATTTAGGGGGTCACCTTAAGTCTGAAACTTACAAAAAGACCGTAAACAGAAGAAAAATTTTTTTTTTAAATGTATGTTGGGTCTCAAAAGAAGCAAAACTTAATAAAAATTTCAAAAATAAATACCATTATTTGTTGAAAATACCTTAAAATTTTTTTTTATGATAAAAAACCATGAAAATATGTTTTTATTTTTTGTTAAAAAATAATTTTTATGTAATAAAACTAGAAAATAAAGAATACTAACTTTTGTGTAAATTTTTTATTATTTTCAAAATTTTTCAAAATTTTGCTTCTTTTGATATATATATATATATATATATATATATATATATATATATATATATATATATATACACATCATATTAATTTTAAACTATTTAAAAAATACTAACCACAAACTTTGTGTAAAGTTCATAAGTAAAAAGTGGATTTGGTAGTTCCCTATATACAACAAAAATTATTTTTTTATTTAAGTTAATATATATATATATATATATATATATATATATATATATATATATATATATATATATATATATATATATATATATATATATATATATATATATATATATATGACTTTGTCACCATTTATCTCTGATAAATGGTGACAAAGTTCAATTTTAATAAAGATTATTTGCCACATAGATTACAAGTTCTATAAATAAATAGCCTAAGAGTTCATTATTTAGAAAGTTCACTAGCCACATAGTTCATTAGTTACAAAGTTCACTTACCAAAAAGTTCACTAGCCTCAAAGTTTACTAATTACAAAGCTCACAAGTAACAAAGTTCACTAATAACACTGATCAATAGTTAAAAAATGATAATTACCTAAAGTATGTTTTTAAAAGTGATGATATGCAGTGTATATCATTTAAGTATTTTTGGTCTTCCAAATTGGGAGGTTTTTCCTGACTGTCAAAAGCAACTCTGTTATAAAAAAAGCAATGAAAAAAATATAAAATATTTTTTCGGTATCTTTTAATTAAATTTAATATTTGAACAGTAAAAATAAATAATCAAAAAATTAGCAATTAAAATCTAAGTAACAATAAAATAAAAACTTAAAACACCTCAATCGCTGAAGGTTCGACATTATGCCTGATAATCTATAAATTCCATCAACAATACCATGTTCTTCAACAAATTTTGAACACATTTCCAAAACAATTGGAATATCATGTCCAGTTAAAGCCAAATACTCTCCAAGATCACATCCAAACACACGCTCCCGTAAAATACCATGCTGCATAAGTTCATCTTTACTTGGACGCGATTTAAAAAAAAACCGAAGGAAACTAACTAATTTACCACGTCGCTTAATTAACGGTCGCAAATGAATATTAGATACAGCTTTGTCATTGACATCTTTTTCGCCAAGAACTTCTATACAGTTAGATGGAAAGAATCCAACCTGTAATAAATTCAGTTAATTAAAAAGCAGTTTAAAACTTTCAAAATTTAGACAAATATTAGCAAAATAAATTACTTCAAAACCCTTTTTTCCTCTCCACCATACTGTTTCATCAACATGGGGCATGTCAATAATTGAAATAAATTCACCAACATCCAAAGTCATTTCATCAGGGGCTTGAGATTGGTAACGCTTAATCACTCTCCCAGCAGCTATAGCTGGAACATTTATTGCTGAGTCATCAGCTTCCATGACAAAAAGGTGGTTGCCATGGTTATCCAACTTAATAATAAAAAATAAATATAATATATAACATCTAATACATCATTAAAACGAAAAAGATAAAACGTTAAATGTTTTAAAGAAAATAATCATTGTTGTGGTAAAACACCTGCATTATACCTCGAGCCAATTTAAAACAGGTCCACAATTTATATTGTTTCCTGATACATCAGAGAATTGCTTTACATAGGCTTGAAGCATTTGTGCCATATCCTTAAAAACAAGAAATTGAAGAAAATGTTGTGAATAAACAAAAGTAATAAGATTTAAAAAATTCTAACTTACATACGAAACTGACTCTCCATCATCTAATGCTTTTAATTCAGGCAATTTACTATATCCTCTTCCATAAAGACACCTGTTTAAAAAAATGTATATTGTATTTGTATTTCATGTATTTCATGCATTTTTTTAATTTTAATTTTAGAAAAACTAAGTTAAAATCAAGTTAACCTAAAGCTATTGCATTTGTGCATTTAGTTCTTATAATTTATTTCTCATAAAAATTGTCACAACTCATTTTTTTATTAAAACATTTCAAAAATGTTTTTATTCAAAAAAAAACTAATAATAATAATTATAAAATTTATAAGCATCAACAGAAATGTCAAAACTGGATGTACACAGTGGTGTACACAGTGGTGTATACTATCAGTGGTGTACACTGGATAACTATGTCAAAACAAAACAAAGTCTTAGTATTTGAACATTACAAAAAATTGTAAAACTAGGGGTATCCATGCACTTTCTTTTAGTCTCTTTAGTGGTGCAAAAGAAGACACACATTTGATTAACAATCAAGAGGTTTGATGTTCAAATATACCCAATGTCACTGGAAATACCACATTCAACTTTTTTTCTCGTTAAGCAATATTTGAAGCAATATTCGAAGCAATATTCGAAGGGAAGTTTCAGAATTAAATGCTGAGAGTGAGACAGTTGCAACAAAATGTTTAAAAAAATGTTAATTAAATAATCAAATTAAATAACCTGTGTAACATCCTATCAAGCCCAACAAAATCTTCATAACTTCGTTTTAAAGTCCATTTTTCTTTACTTACTACTTCAACCTGAAGAAAAAAAAAAAAAAATGAAAATAAATAAAAAAGCATATAGTAATATACATGACTATATGATACAGACTACACTCTTAGTGTAATTGTAAAACTTTATGTCATTTTTGTATAAAATAAATTATTAATTTTTTTTTTATTATTATTTTTTTTAAATTATCAAACTTTTATGAGTTTATAAAAGTTCATTAATTGAATAATAAATAATAATTTAATAATTTTTAATGATAATATTTTAATGATAAATATTTTCACTTGGTCTGTGTTGTTAATCAAAAGACACAAAGTAAAGACTCCAGAAATCTAGCCAATCAAAATGCTTAAATATTAAGTATATATAAGTTGATAAACTCTGTGATAATTTATCATATAATAACATGTTAACATGTCAAAAAATAAGTAATTATTTTTATTATATTCCAAATACATAAATTTACAACATTTCTGCAAAAAACAACAATCTTGTATGTTTCTTAACTTTACAGCAAAAGTTTTTGCAGAAAAAATAATTTGTTTAATCAAATTTATTTATGTTAAATATAATTAAAAAAAACATGACAAAACTACAAAACTTTGGCAAAAAACCTCAAATATTTGAAGTCTTAAAAAATGTAAAAAAATTTTTTTCAAATTAAACTAAAAACAAACATTTAATTAAAAACTATAACTGAAAAAAAAAAAAAAAAAAAAAACACAAAAAAAACATACAGCAAACATTTCCCATGAACTTGACAGTTGCATACTTTGTTCAATGTTTACACTGATCTAAACCAATAATAAGTTCTTAATACTTGCATTTCATTATCATCATGTCAATAAATTTGACATAATGACTATCAATAAATTTTGAAATTTAAAATAACGATAATAATGATTATCATCACCATTATTATCAAACCATCATCATCAAATTATTAAAATAGTGTTATCATCATTATCCGGAGAAAAAAACAATTTGTTATTATTATTATTTTAAATATACATGCAGTTTGTGAATCCTTCCTCAGGCCACACATCCTTATTGACTCGCACATACTAGTTATTGAAGAACAAGGAAGTACTTATATTATATTAGAGATGTATATTACTTATATTTTTTAAATTAGAGACACAACATTGAATGGAGCGACTTTAATTAACAACATTAAAAAAATCTTATGAAAAGCGCATGAAGATCTTTTAAATACTAAAGTAAGGAACAAGATATGCATCGTTTACAAAGCGAGATCAATTAGTTTTAAAATAGAACATTTTACAATTTTTGTATTTGAAAAAGATAAAAAACTTTACAAAGTCAACTTTAAAAAAAATGTCTTTTTAATAATATTCACCTCCTAAAAGGTGAGGGGAGAAATATATTGTAGGGAATAGAGGGGAGTGTTTAGGGATCACTAATAATATGACAAGGAATATGGTGAGGATCAAAACTAAAACGTGTTGATTACAAAGCTCTATCTTCATTTATTGAATGAATTCGAAGTTTGATAATGAAGGAATTCAAAGTTAATATCTATAATATATAAAAAGTTAAATTCATTTTATTATTCAAGAGTACACATTTTTTTAATTTTCTTTTACACAAAGGGTTTTATTTAATGATTCTTTTGAATGCTCTAAAATAATTTAAAACATTACTCAAAAAAATTTATATTTGTCACCATTTTTAAAAAAATGTGGCTTTATATAATGCAGTTATATTTATATACTACATATCTACATAATATCTATATATATAAAATATATATATATATATATATATATATAATATCTATCTATATAATATCTATATATACTATATATAATATAATATCTATCTATATATAATATAATATCTATATAACATCTATCTATTTAATATTAATATATAATATTTTATATTATATAATACAGTTTGATGAAATTAATATTTTTTTATTCAAATTTATTTATATATTCAACTTATGCTTTTATATATTCAAAAAATATTTGTCCTCTAGTTATGAACAAATATACTAATGTATACATTTAACCAAAAATGTAACAAATCTTTTTTTAAATAAGGCTGAGGGGCCACCAGAGCTTTGGAGCAACTCCAGAGTTGGAGCCGGAGCTATCCGGAGTTGGTGATTTTACCTGGAGCTGAGCCGGAGCTGGAGCTAAAATATTTCCTGAAATATTTATCAAAAAAAAATAAAAAATAGCGGAAGATACTCTCTATAGATGTGGTATCAGTAATGATCAAATAGTATGTGCAAGTGTAGCCAATATAGCAATATAATTAGAGTAATCGCAATTTTTAAAAAATATGATGAAATTTTTTGAAATAAAGCTTTGCAGGATTAAGAACAAGTGGAGTTTTTACAACATGATACAAATAAAGAAAAAAGTGAAGCAATTCAAGAAAAAATTTAGCCTTTATCAACCTAGAATGGTGCCAACAATTGTCTACTGACATAAGGCTGATGCGCTGTGTTATTCACACTTTACAGCTAGCTATTCGTATGATTAAAAAAAAAAATACATTGCCCAACTTTTGTAAAAAGTCAGTTATGTTGTAAAGAAACTAAGAAACTCACATATAACATTTTTAGCAAGAAAGCAATACAAGGTTGTTTCTATTTTGGATAATGATACACGCTGGGGTTCTGCATTTCAGATAATTGAAAGATCATTATTTTTGCATCAACTATGTAAGTAATTCGCTGCAGTTGATCAGATATTCTTTCTACGCACTGAAATATGGTATCTTGGCGTTCTTCGCTCAAGCCTGATATTTTATTTTAAAGGATAAATCAAGATTTTGATTAACAAAATACTAATAGTACATAAGTTACTGTCTTAAATATTAAAAAAAAAATTTGATTTGTTTTTTGCGGAGCTGCTCCGGAGCTGATGCCAGAAATCTTTACAAACTTAATGTCATTGTAGGAATATTTAGGAAAATAATTAACATAAATTTGAGCAAAATGTGGTGTGTGATACACGCCACATTTTGCTTTTATTACATTTATTTTATGTAAGAGCTAATCAATTATAAAAATTTTTTTTATATGATTTGGAAGAGTAAGTATTATGGTATATGTTTATATTAGAAAACTGATAACATAGGATTTTATAAAAATAAAAAACTTACTGTTACAGAACCACCAAAATCAACATTACTGTAATGAAAGTGTGACATTTCTTCTATACGAGGAAAGCGAGAGTTTTGAATCCTAAAAATGTTTTACATGAAATTAAACTGTTTTAAAGTAAATACAAAACTGTTTATAAAAATAAAAAATCGCTTTTATATTAATTATCTATTTTTAAAAATTATATAAAAAAATATACTATGATTTATAAAACTCTTATTAAAAAGAAAGCCAAAATTATTACCAACTTAAAGTGATTTTAATGTATAGGATTAATATTTTTTTTATTCTTCTAAATGTCTAAAGGTCTAAATGACTGCAATTTATTTCTGAAGCATCATTTATCACAAAACTGGAATTATACACAATTTAAAGCAAATTTAAACAACAGAATCAAACAACCTTCCTCTCCTTCCTGGCATCTGGAATTCATGAGTTTTTTATTTCTATAAAAAACACGCAGAAATATCCTTACTTAGAATTATACAGAGGTCAAAGTTTCTACTATTTAAGATTGTTTTTCCATTCCAAAGGAGCTTCATTAGTTTCACCTAATTAATAAATAAGTCAATTGAAAGCTTAAAGTAATGAGGAAGCTATGGATAGTTTAGAATAAGAGAGAAAGCTGAATAGCAGAGTAAATAAGCTGGAGATGTAAATTAAGAGAGAAAACTTTAAATAAGTTAAAAGATATACAAAAATAAAAATGGATAATGAAAAAGTCACAAAACTAAAAATATATTTGAACCAAAATCCTCCATTTTACCTACGAAAACACAGTGCAAAAGCTTATTAAAATTAGGTTTTGCAGGTTTTCCATGCTCTTCTGCATATGGGCATATATCTTAAATATTTCAATGCTCTCCTGCATAAATTAGAGCAATCAAGAGCAATCATAATCATCATTAGCAAAATAGGTTAACACACCAAACGCCATAAAGGACATATAGCTTGTACAGCATTGTAAAAAATACCTTAAATCTTATATTATATATATATATATATATATATATATATTATATATATATATATATATATATATATATATATATATATATATATATATATATATATATATATATATATATACAATATATATATTTATATATATATTTTTTCTGTTATATATATATTATATATATATATATATATATATATATATATATATATATATATATATATATATATATATATATACAATATATATATTTATATATATATATTTTTTCTGTCATATATATATATATATATATATATATATATATATATATATATTTATATATATATTTTTTCTGTTATATATATATATATATATATATATATATATATACATACATATATATATATATATATATATATATATATATATATATATATATATATATATATATATATATATATATATATATATATTTATATATATATATATATATATATATATATATATATACATAAAACAAAAAAAAAAAGGTAATGTATAACAATTAACAAAAAAAAAGGTAATGTATAACAATTATTATATTTACAGCTTTTAACTGTGACTTATAATAACTTTAACTGTGATATAAAGATATTTACATTATATGATAGCAATCATTTGGTGAAAAAACATAACTGTAAAAAACATAACTGATATATGCATATGCTGATATATTTTTTCTTACCTTAAATGATCATCAAACATATATTTTTTAAGAAATATGCTTATTCTACGATCATCCTTGGAAAAACTATTTTTCTTTGAACCTAACATTAGTTTAAT